TCATCACACACATTAGTTTAACATATGTTTATTCCATTACTATTAGTTTTTAAATTATTACTTCCCCGTGTCATAGCAGTATTATTTTTTGAAAATACACACCAACTACAGTACATCAAATCTTCATCATCCGAGTATTTCAGCAATGGACGAGTTGTTAATCAACTTCGCTAAAATCGTCGATGTTCCTTGGCTTCATTATTAGTGACACTCCCCACAGTCACCGCTATGCTACCAGACTCAATACCATCGGCATTTTGCGTGTCTGCTGGAACATTTTCTAAAGGTACTGATTCTGTCGCCGGTGTCTCAGTCCATTGCTGACACTTTTAGCATAATGTACCGAATCAGGGTTTCGGCAAATTCCAAAATTCAATAAAATCTGTGGCGTTTTGGCTTGCTCATGGCGCCCATTCCATGAGGCTTGAAATGGGTTGTGTATATTGCAAGACATTGCTCAATTGTGGGACCCCTCTAGGGAATAAATTACTACATTGATAGCGCCACCATACGGTCAATATGGGAAAGCCGTTTGGACGCAATTTTTTTTTCTGCGCCAAATGTGGCCCGATTTAATTGAAATGCTGCGCCAAATTTTGAAATATTGCGCAAATGGCGCAAGGGCGCAGCCTGGTGAGAACACTGTGAAAAAACCACTACCACCGTGATCTGTGCAGCTACATGCTACGTTACCTTGCCCAACATTCTGCTCAATATTCTATCACCCCTAAAGTTGAACATACACAAATTTATTAAATATTAAAAATGAATAAACAGTTTATTTATTACTCTCTGGAAGAAACGAGTCTCTAGTCTTTTTTTTTTTTTTGCCTGGTGTTCCTTGCTTCACGGATCAGAACAAATTAGAAAGAAATGTTTTCTGTCAAATTAATAAAAAAAAATTTAACTTTTCATTAAGACCATATTTTCCTCAGGGTATACCCACAAAAATAGAACCATGATTGACAAAGACATTATTTGCTGTTTTAGTTGCATGTGCTTTTTAGCTCTGCTGTTGACAAAATCAACTTCACATTTTCGATTTCTTGAAAATTGCTAACTCCATGGCTTTGATATCATTTATGAAGGTACCTTCAATTCTCTTTTTTGGACTTCTTTAGAAAACTACCCGTTTGATTACTTTGATACTAGACATTAGACTGGCACAGTCGGGGTGATTAATTTGTTTTTGTAGTTTAAATAAAATAAAAAAATTCCGTGAAATGGAGGTGTTAGCGCAAAATCCCCTGTAACTTTGAAATCACCCGACCTGTTTATTCTGCATGGCTCTCTTTCGACACTGCAGGAACCTGTCAATTTTTCAACGGGTGATCCTAGCTAAAAATACATGCAATATTCAGTTTATTTGGATCTCCATTGCAGATGTGCTTCAAACAGAGCAAATACAATATATTATTAATCTGTGATATCATGCCGATTGATGATTTGTCTTGTGGAATTACTCAACCAATTGTATGTAAATTTGCTGGATTGATAATGTTATAGTCCAAATTATGATCATTCATTTCATTCAACAGTGTGATTATTGTTTTTCTTCATAACAGCTGCTAAAGTAATGTTATCGATGCTGAGACGAAGAGCTGTTGATGTCAAAACTGGCGTGAGAAAATCAGCAATTCAGGTACTGTTATTTTATTCTGTAGTTGGTTCTACTATTAGGTGAACAGCACTGATTTCTGACCAAACTATCATATCATATACGGTCATTATTTCATCAAATATTTACTACTTGTCCTTACTGTGAATAAAGGACAAAGGCAAGTCAATAAGAAAAATCAAATAAAAAACAAAAATTGAATACTGAATCGTTAAAATATGACCTATTTAGGTAATCATGTGCACCAATAATAGAGCAAATATAGTATTACATGCATCCTGCAACATAAGAGCAACAGACGCAGTAGTAAAAGATTTTTGTTGCCACATATTTGTATAATTGTTAAAATACAGGCGCTTGAGAGTGTGATCAGACTTGACATGTCCAATATCTCAAAAGAGGATATCCAAGTAATCCGAACTAGATGCCAAGATACTGCTTTATCTGTAAGAAAACAAGCTATGACTTCACTGACTGCGCTGCTACTAGACAAACCAGACTCTGCTTTGTTACATAGGTGAGCTGACATTGTGAAATACCTCCAAATAGATGGGGAAGTAGTTAAGTTTTAAAAATGAAACTTTTTACATTGCACTCAAATCCACGAGTGTCAAAAAGGACTTCGCAATATGAACTCTTTGAAACGCTTCACCTTTCACAACTTAAACTTGCATACTTTTTTTAAATATTTTTCAAAGAAATTGGTAAATTACGTTCATTTTTGTTCAAAGTTAATAAACCAAATGCAAATTTAGCTGAAAACAGTGTTTAAAGGGATAAACTGATATAGTTTCCCTACTCCCAAGAAGTGTACAACCTTAGTGCAGAAGGAATACATCACATCATGCATTAAAATTTCATTTTAATTTACACGTGTTGTATACACAGATAATGTTGTGGTGGCCAATGCCCAATATGCAAGCAAAATTGAAAATCATAATTCTGTTCATCTTAGTTTTATTTTTGGGGGGAGGAGGTGTTTGCGTAAAAATATAACTAAATGTTGTGCTACGAGTTTCTAATGGAAACATGCATGTACCTTTTTTGGTTGCTAATATAATTTGTGGTGAACATCTGCTGGCTGTTGATCCTAACCTCTGTATGCCATTGCTTATCACTGACTGGAATTTTCATTCCCTAGATATTTTTCATGAAACAACTTACAATGATTGCATATATTTTGTATTCACAAAGGAGCTTTGCAGAGTTTAACTTTTGATTTGGGTCATGGCGTTACTTTAGTGACATTGATGATGTTGTACTTTACAGAACATTCTATTCTTTATAATTATAGTTTTTGGTTAGATGGAGTTGTTCCGATGGTAGGAGATAATGAATCCAGCTGTCAGGAGAAGTGTCTGGATATCATGGAAGATGTGTTGATTCGTAACATTGTACCTCTAAATAAAAGCACAACGCCGCATCATAAGATGGTGTGGGATATATTTAACTTTATTGCAGAAAACGAGCAGCTGGAAGAACGGTAATGAAACTTTCTGTCATATAGAATACAGTGTAGAAGAAAAATTGGCAGTCGGTCAAAACGATCACCTCCTTTGAATAAAATACGGGCTAGGTTGTTGTAGAGGAAATATATGGAATATGGAAAAAACATTTTGTACTGTGCATTCCTGATGATACAATTTGATTTTGATGCACGAACCATAAAATTCATTTAGAGCAGCTAACTGCAAATGATTCTACATACATGTGAATATGTAACACAACAAGTATTAAATCAAGAATTTGAGTGGCTGTTGATTAAGTGTTTATTTTTATATTACCAGGCACTTTCTGCAGAAGGCTTGCAAGCATTGGTCCAAGCAGAAGAAATTGACGCCTAAGTTGATACAATCTCTTGTGACCCATGCTAACAGCCAGCATGGATCGGTATGTCCATCATTTATATGTACTTATTGCTGCTGATGATTGACATGACATATAATATTCCAACATTAGCAGAATATTCCCATACTAAATGAATGAAATTGCATATTATCATCACATTAGTGGAATGCCTGACATATACCCATACTAGATGAATGAGCTGACATATACCCATACTAAATAAATGAAACATGGCAAGCGGAGAAACTCGTGCACTACTATAATTTTGCTTACACATTTTCTGTCCATGTTTACTGCTTTCTTATAACCCTATAACGCAACCACTCATTTCTTATTTTTTACACCACAGGGAGCATGGGTGCTGCTGGCCAGTATAGCAAAACACTGCCCTAAACTAGACCAGTCATTTATATTTAATTGTTGGGATGACTTCAAATCTGGTAAAACTGAAGTCTCCTCGTCCACCTTAGTTCATGTGGTTACTGTTATTGGTTGCAATGCCAAAAATCTTGATGAAGAATTGGTTAGGAAGTTGATAAAGGATTTCAAAAGTTTACTTAGAAAGTTTTCGTCTCCTCCTGATGTTACAACTGCCATTGTTGATTCGCTTTGTCAGGTATGTGCTTAATCTTTTATTACCATCATTGATAGTCTGTGTTTTTGTTGAAGCCAAACAAAAATAAGGCTTTTCCTCTTAGTTATTTCCTAAATTGATGGCATCATTCTTATCAGATGGTTAAGGTACATGTAATTTACAGTTTTGACGTTTAGTGTGAAATATCACAATCTTGATATGGTATGGCATGGTATACATGTTTGAACAGTACACTGAAAAACAAATCATGTGATAGTACCCTTTGTATTGCAGCAATACATGGATTTTTACACTGACACTAACTCTGACTGTATAAGGACATCATAGCTAATTAAATCAGAACCCATAACTGTGTATCCATTGATGCTTAGATGTTACCTCATTAGCTTAATGATTTCTATGTCTAGTTTTGTTAAATTACTTTTAGCACTGATATCACTTGCATAACATCATGTTCACATCATTTGTCCGTGGGGTGGGGGGGGGCATCGTATTTTGAGTATGGATGACAGTTTATTTATGACATTTTTTCATTATCAATTCTGATTCAGTTATGCAATTCTCAAGTGAAGTCTCCGGAAGAAGGTAGAAAGTTGATTGTTGAATGGTGTGTCGATATCATGTCAGACTGTGACCAATTTTGCTCCAGTATCTTGCTGTCGGAGAATCCTGCTGATTTTGACGAAGATAAACTCATTACTTATATTTACACTCTGGGAGAAGTAGTACAGGTAATAATACTCAATCAATATCTTTATTGCCAAAGTACATTATTAATATATAAATACAAATATGCAATGAAAATAAATATACTTCACTATGGAAGAAAAATGTAAATGTGAAAACAATGAAAATAAATACACTTTATACGATTCATGTGGAATAAAATATGTAAAATGTCAGGAAGGTAGAAATTAGAACAAGTGGTGCTAGTGAAGTCTACTGCCCAAAATAGAAATGAAGAATATACATTCAAAAATAAAGACGCAACAAAAATATTTATATATACATGATTAATGATTAAATAAAAAAAAAATAATAATTAGCAAATATAACAACTAAATAATTAATTGATCAACAAGATCAATCAATCATTCATTTTATTAGTACATTTATATATGATACAGGTGCAGGACTCGTCTTGATAATTTGACTGGAAAGAATCACTTTGATTTACGTGTAAAACAAAATCTCACTGAACATTACAGTGAATGTCATCTATAACATAACATCCCATAAATGTTACATTATAGAATGTTAAATATCAAATAATGAATATTGGTCTAATATTATTTTTTCTTTTGGCCAGATAGATTATCAATATACTTGTACCTGATGTGTGTGTTTTCATGTAAACCCAGAATTAGGGAGATTGCTCGTTTGACCAAGGTGATTGCCTGCTACTCAGAATTTTAAAAAAAAAAGAACAGTAAATATTTACCATAAATAATCACAGCATCCTTGTTTCTGTGAGTAGATGATTAACTCAGGATGACTTGAACTTAAAACACAAAAGAAGGCAGGCATATATCCTGAATGACTACCTCTTTATTATAAAGTCTGCATAGTAATTAAAAAAAAAAATCTGCTTTACATGCTGAAAGTGCTTTAAGTCTTTGTGTAACACCAAACTCAATTTTAATCATCAGTCACAAAATAAAATGTTAATTTTTTATTTATTTTTTTCTAGTCATGTAGCTAAATGTAGCATTTCTTCCAAAATGATCAAAAATAACTAAATATAGGTAGAATATTGTACCATAGTTTTGTTTTGGAAAAATCATGGCATTCAAAGAGTTAACACCAGTGATATTTCTTAGGATATGGTAGTTTTGCCAATAGTGATTGTACCACATTTTCTTGGTGGCTATTATAAATACAATGTAATGCACATATTACTTCACTGCGTATACAAGCGTCTCGTTTTGAAGGTTTGGGTGCACATGGATTGAGAATTGTCTAATAAGATTGTCTTCAAAACTTTATTTTAGTTGGCTGCCGAGAAAGTGAGTAAACGAGTCCAGACGTTGGTGCTCTCTGTCCTTGCTGGATCTAAAGTCACAGCAACTTGTAAGTTCCACTAATGATTTTCTATCATCTAATGTTACGGTTTTGAATACCTTTTAATAGTTAGTAGTTAATTGTATGCTCACCCAACTGACCAATTTTCAACTTCATAAATTGCTCTGAAAATATTTTTACTTTTTTTTAGTACCAAGCCAGGCTTCCCAGCCATCATCACAGACACAGTACCCACTGTCACAGCTTCATAATTCTAAGCTGTCTGATAAGGTACAAGCGTTTGCACTCATTACTCTTGGAAAAATGTGTCTGGTGGATGATAACCTTGCAAAACAAGCCATTGCACCATTAGCTAAGGAGCTAGAGGTGTCATCTGCTGCCTCTATTCGAAATAATGCTGTCATCATTCTTTGTGATCTCTGTGTAAGGTGGGTGTATGTCATCATTCTTTGTGATCTCTGTGTAAGTTGGGTATATGTCATCATTCTTTGTGATCTCTGTGTAAGGTGGGTATATGTCATCATTCTTTGTGATCTCTGTGTAAGGTGGGTGTATGTCGTCATTCTTTGTGATCTCTGTGTAAGGTGGGTATATGTCATCATTCTTTGTGATCTCTGTGTAAGGTGGGTGTATGTCATCATTCTTTGTGATCTCTGTGTAAGGTGGGTATATGTCATCATTCTTTGTGATCTCTGTGTAAGGTGGGTGTATGTCATTCTTTGTGTAATGTGGGTATATGTCATCATTCTTTGTGATCTTTGTAAGGTGAGTATATGTCATCATTCTTTGTGTAATGTGGGTATATGTCATCGATCTTTGTGTAATGTGGGTATATGTCATTCTTTGTGATCTTTGTAAGGTGAGTATATCTCATCAATCTTTGTGTAAGGTTAGGTATATGTCATCATTCTTTGTGTCGTTCTCTGTGTGAGAATGC